GACGCTGCGATTCGAGAGAGATGATGATGATGATGATGATGTCGATCCCCATCGTCCTCGTCATCAGTCTCGTCGTCGTCGTCGTCGTCGTCATCATCGTCATCGTCAACGTCACCATCACACTCACCACCATCATCACCATCATCACCATCACCATCATCATCATCATCATCACCATCAGCACCATCATCAATACCATCACCATCATCACCATCACCAGCACCACCACCATCATCATCATCATCATCATCATCATCACCGTCATCATCACCATCATCATCGTTGTCACTGTTCGTGCTTCGTGTGATGAACTCCACACGAATCCAAGAGCTCTTCTCAGGATGTGGCCTGCCAAGTCACTGCGGCAGAGAGCCCCTGGCGTTTCTCGGCGCTCAGCTGGCCCCATGGCCCCATGACCCAAGTCGAGGATCTGCCGCCCTGCCCGAACCCATCAAACATCGAAGGAACTGCAGAGAACTTGTTGTTGTGCATCGCTCAGGTTCCGGCATCTTCCGCATACCCGGATGCTTGCATCGGGCGAGCTTCGTCTATCGGGGACAAGAGCTGGATGCTGTGAACCTCCACGTGTCGCGCCTGCTTCCAGGCTTCGTTGTGACACCTGTGTGTTTGAAGTGTTCGGGTGCTGTATGAGTTGCTCTACATACCCTATGGATTGCTGCTATCTGGCTGTGTTCATTCGCCTGCGGGACGCCCTGAAGAAAGCGCGAGACCGTGAAGGCCAACCCGAAGCCCTGAAGCCTCTAAGCCCCAAGCCCTAAAACCCTGAAGCCCTGCAGCCCCAACCCCCGGATCCTGGCCAGGCCTTAGCAATGCCGTTGCTCCGCAGCTCTCCTCCGGATCCCTGCTCTTCTTGGGCCCCGCCACCTCTGGGAAGACCAGCAGCCTGAGAGAAGCAGCCGCCAGCCTGGCCCACACCTACCAGGCCCCGGTCGAGGGTTTAGGGGTTGAGGGTTTAGGCTAAATTAGGGGTTTAGGGTTTGGGGGGTTCAGGGGGTTAGGGTTTAGGGGTTAGGGTTTAGTGTATTCGGTCGCCGCTAGTTCGTGCTTCTCGATGATCATTGATCATAAATTGTGGTTGTTCTGAGTGGCAGGATGTGACGGGGATTGCCATGTGTCTTGATTTCCGCACATCTTCCGAGATCGCACCTACCACGCTCGCATCCAAAACCCTGAATTGAAACCACTCCTCTAAAGCCTGACACAGCTAGAATCAGAACCCTAAATCTCAGATCCCATGCCCTGAGGTCCAAAACCCTGAGTTGAAACCACTCCTCTAAAGCCTGAAACCCTGAGGTCGTGATTTTGGACTTCCACGAGGAGCTCCACTCCGGCGACTTTGACTGCGTCAGATCCCTGGTGCCCTTGGACTCGGATGCGGTGGCAGCGGTGGACCGGGCCATCGCGGAGCAGAGCCCCGAGGACTCCCGCTGGGGTTTGGGGGTTAGAGTTGACTTTGGGGTTTAGAGACGGGGCCTGGGGGTTGTAGAGGCTTTATAGGGTTCAGGGTTTTTGAGGGAGTGAGTTTTAGGGTGTTGGGGGGTAATTATATGATGTAGTTGGGGTCGAAGTGTCTGCGATTTTGCGCTTGGATGTAGGGTTCAAGAACTGGGGTTTTGGGTTTCAGACTGCTTGTGCTGCATGCGCCTACAAAAGTCTAGGGAAGCTCCCTTTCGAGGTGATTGCTGCCGAGTTTGCGGATGTGGCAGCCGCGCTTCAGAGTGCACAGTTGTGTGCCTCTGCTGCAGCATCCTTGGTGGAGATACCTAAAGCAGCAATCGAGCTGTGCCAATGCCAAACCCTGCCCGAAGATACCCTCATTTCAAGGATAAAGCCCTCAGCAGCCCTGCACTGCTACGGATTTGGCATTTAAATACAACAGTCGTGGAGGTGATCTGCCGCTGAGCTTCAAATCTTGAGCCATCATGTACAGCCTTGAACCCCAGGCCCAAATCCACACACCGCCTCCCAGTCGTTGCAACTCAAGGTACAAACGAACCCCAAGCCCGAACTGCTGAACCTAAATCCCGAAGAAGGTGCACCTCAAGTGAAATCCCAGACATCGCAGAAACTCACGCCACCCAACGGCAGTATCTCTGCCCCTGAGTTCTACACCCCCCGAGCCTTAAGGCTGCACCTCTGCCACGGGAATTGTGAGGCTCTGAAGCCGGCGTGCGGCTGCTGTGCACCCTGCGGGGAACCGTTGGTGGGCTGACCGCTGCCTTCGCTCGCCCGGGGCTCGGCTGTGGAATCCTTCTTGTTTGCACATCCGTTCTGAAGTGTCATCAGTTCGGACGATGTTAGTTGTGTTCGGTATGTATTTTGCATTTGTTGACTCCTTTGCTACCCTTTCTGGTGGAATGTGGAAGCGTGAAAGGTAGAGGGCTCCGGATCCTAAAACCCGAAGCTCGGAGGTGGGGGCACCCAAAGCACCCAACCTAGCAGAGGGATGAGCCCTCAAAGCCAAAACAATCTACTGCTAGCAGGAGGTCACACCAGCATATCAGTCTTGCTAATGCGCCAATGCCGTCATCATTCTATTCGCTTCTTTAGTAGCCTCTCAACTCTCGGGCCTCAAAGCCCTGGAGCTTCACCGCAGGATCCAGCGTGCCAGGGAGTGGCACCTTCCCTTTCGACACTGTCGTGGTGCTCCGTCGTCAGCTGGATACCTGGCACGTCTATGCCAAATCGGGTGCCAGCGGTCGCTCGGCGTTTGTGCAGTCGAGGCTTGAGAGATAGCAGAGTTGAAGCTTCAAAGCGAGCCCGGATTAAGGACTTGAGTGACTTGAGCCGTCCCAAACCCTGTGCCATAAACTGTCCGGTCTCTTGAAGAGTCGGCGCGGATTATATTGTTCTTTACTATACTGTAATATACTAATTATTATGTACGATAATACAGTAGTCATAATGTACTATAATATAATATGCTACTTGTAAGGTTCCCTGGGCTCTCCGCCCAGCTCCGCAGCGCAACACAGTGACTCCTGCGCTTTCCTGCGGCAGCCGAGAGCGGTGCTGCGACTGTGCCTTGGTTTGCCTTTATTTGCAGAAAATCGCACAATATTGAAATCTCCTTCTTTATTATCAGAAGCTATCAATGACAAAAATCGAGGACAACCTCTGCATGACCCTCTAGTAACCTTCTTCTGTGCACTGGTCCGCCAACGTGAAGTTCTTCTTGTGTGTCAAAGACAAGCGAGGGGAGCGTACGTTCCGAGAGATTCCACGTTCCTTGAATGAAGGAACGTTCCACTAACATGCCTTAGATCGGGAATTTTTTTTAAAGTCAGATTCCGGAATGAAGGGCTTTGGAAGTGTTGTACATCTGAGGAAAATCTTGGGAAGTCCTGAGGGCCCAAGCAGCCCCGGAAGTGAAGGCCGCATGTCGGCAACGCCTTCTGTGCACACCCTCGTCTCGGAACCGGAAGAGCACGGCCAAATCTAGGGCCGTGAGGGCTAGAATACGGTTTCGGGGTATATAATGCATCTACGCACGGACTACAAGGGAATCTGATTGAATATAGTTCCTGTTTGCTTAGACCCCCATCTTAGACCTCGGTGCACTTTAGGGCCTCGAACTCCTGTGCAGTTCTTTCCGTCCGGGCAGAGCAGACAGATCATGTCATCCCTGCACCCGAACGGACCTCACCGAAGATTTCGTGGGTTTGAGGTGTGCAGGTTGGCCGCCTCCTCCCATGAGTGCCGAAGGGGATTTGCCGGGTTCTTGCACAGTAAGCCAATTTGGAAGGGGTTCAAGTTCTTGCATCAGTGCTGGGAGCCTTGAATCGGTTCCACAGTCCACAAGGTAGCCTGTATGCTTGACACCCTCGGACCCGAAACCCAGCACTCGACTTCTTTCAGCCGGCGATATAGCTGTGAAAAATTCTCTGCGGTAGTAGACCGCTGGACCGAAGGTCCAGGTCTAGTTCTAAGCTGCGCGGATGCTGGACGCGAGCAGCGTCCTGTTCTGGCATTGATAGCAGGACGTAGGTACGAATCTGCATAAATAACGAGTGGACAGACGATGGGCAGACCAAAATCTGCAGGGAGTAAGTACGTCAAGAAGTCGGTCATCACTCCGCCTGTGCCACATGACAGACTCATTGCACCATGCTACATTATATATATATATATATATAGTGAACCCTGCTGGGAGATTTTTCACGCAAATGGAGCCTTGTAGCTGGATTGTCGACCTCATCACTCCATCCATCGTAGCTCAGTCCCACCACTACCTACACCTTGGACTTCTTTGCTAGGGCACGGCGTGTGTTCGGGCGTCCTCTTCAGCTCAGCAACTGAGGGAGAGCCTGGGACAGTGTGCAGCTGGAATTCCTACAACCCGTAATTTGGAGCACCTTCATCTGTATCGTGGAACAAGCATCTCATTTCGACGGGCCCTTATCTGTGGCCAGAGGCAGCAACCTGAACTGCCCAGGCCACAGACTGTTTGGGTCTTAAACCTTAAACCCTCCACCCTGAGAGCTCCCGCACGCGCCGGCAATCTTCAGCTCAGTGATTTCTTTCATAGGTCATCTATTTTAGATCAGACAGGAGCCCGTAGCCATGATCCGCGGGCCGAAAAACAGCACGGGCAAAGAGTAGGCCTGTTTTTGGGAGAGGCTCTGGGTGTGTCCCGGCTGAAAGCCCTAAAGCCCTTACCTCCTTCCCTTTTTTTTAAGGTTTCAGGGTTCATAGCTTGGAGGCTTAGGGCTTTAGGGTTTAGGGCTCATGTTCGAACTGGCTGCTGACAGCAGCAAAACGAACAATGCTAAGCCAGTACACATGGCGGCCTTAGCGAGTTGCAAGGTCGCTATCAGCATTGTTGTTGCGACAGAGCAGAAGAAGAGAATGGTTAGAATAACAGCGATCTGTAACATGCAGGCGGTCACAAGATTCTAGACTTGCAATCTGCGGGAGAGAAAGGGAAGGGGCAGGAAAGCTGTTTCGGAAACAAGCAAGGGAATGCTTGAACCACTCCATTGAGAAATCCATCGCAGGGAGTATTTGAGCTTCTTCGAAGCTGAACCCCCTTTGCTGCTTCCATCCCAAGTCCAAGAATCAACAACAGAGACATCAGCTCCTTCATTTCACTGTTCTGGCGACTTCGTATCAGCCGCAGCCCGCCGCTCTTGCTGACAGGTGGTGGCAAGTCGCCCCCAGGCGTTGCACGTACTTTGAACAAGTCCTTGGTAAAACCCGCTGGCTTCCTTGGGGTGTTCTGTTGTGGCGGACAGGCGAGGTTTTGCCACGGCGAACGGTTTATTCAGAATCACCGTGCAATGGTTGTGTCACCAGAAAGCAAGAACTGCCCAAAGTCGCCAATGTCCCAACACTCTAAAACCCCAACACTACACCCTCACACGCTTAACTCTGCCGGCAAGGGCCATGGCCCAAGCCGAATCTGCCAGCCGTAAGGCTTGAGCTTCTCAGGGGATGAGGCCCCTGCGGAAGCCATGGGCCCGACCCCACAGGAGCAGAAGGCACTCGAAGACCTTTGGTGGTATGTTCGGAGACAGGGTGGAGTGCTTGCGTCCTTCCGCATCGCCGAGTTCTGCCAGAAGTTCCCAGCGCATCGGGGCAAGCACTTCAAGCAACTCTGCAAAAGCTCTTCTGACTTCATTGTGGCGGACCGCGTAGACGGGGGATATACGATCCGATTGGTCTGGGCGGAAGAGGATGGTGATGTTTGACTTTCAGTTCTCTTGGGTTCTCAGCCGAAGCGGCTGACCAAACTGAGAGTGACTTTTTTGTCTGCCTCTCTTTCTCTTTCTATTCTTGTTGTCTGTGAAACCTTCGCTGCTGATGATTGCCCGTCTTAGCAGCCGACCGCTTCCGCAGACAGCCACGAAAACAGGAAGCCGTCCGCGACCTGGCGGCCTTCATCCGATCCCTGGGTCGACCACTTCGCTCGAAAGAGTTCCCCGACTTCCAGTCCTCCCATGAGGCGTTCCGAGGTTCAGATGGTTCAGGGTGACGGCTTTGGGGTTCCAGCAAGTCTAGGAGGCTGCTCTGCGGGAAGGTTACAAACATGGAAGGGCGACTGGTACGCGTTCATCACCACTTGTGCACAAAGACCACAGAACAGGAGTTGAGCGCAGTTTTGCGATGAGAGCCCCATGGTGACTTCTTTAGCAAAGTGCAGATCGATCACGCTAGTGCCCCTTCGACGGCTGCTGCTGTCAAGTTGCCACAGCGGCACCGCCGGAAACCGCTTCAATCAAGTGAACCAAAAGCCACGAGGCAACTACGATGATGATGATGACGATGATGATGGCGGTGGTGGTGATGATGATGATGGTGATCATCATGATGATGACTATGACTATGACTGTGACGGCGACGGACGACGACCGATGGCGACGAGGATGATGTTGATGATACAGCTAATCCTGATGATGGTTATGATGGTGATGGCGATGAGGAGGACGACGACCATGATGGTGATGATGATGATAATGATGATGATGATGATGCGGAGGAGGGCGGCTCAATTGATGGACGATGGTGATCACGTTTAACACTTATAACGGTAAAACACACCAGCAGTCACAGCAGCAAGCATGACAGCACGGGAACACGTGAACAGCAAACAACGCACGTGGCCATCATGAATGCATGGTGATGGTGATGGAAATAGTAATGGTGGTTGTAGTAGTCGTCGAGAGGTAGTGTTCATTGTGATGATGAGGGATGGTGAGGGTGACAGTTAACTGCACTCACCCGAACCTCAAGGAGATTTGGTATTTTTGATCGTGATGCTTGGGTGATGACGGCGATGATCAACATCCGGGTCTGAATGCTGAGTTATGAACATTCTACATGGGATTGCTGCGGGATGTGCCATCCTCTTCTCCATGGCCCCGCCCTGGCCCGCATGGCCAGGTGTCGGCTGCCGTGGTGTATTCGGGCGACAGAACGCTACGAAAATTCTGCCAAGAGCATGGCGACATTTTCACTGTTGACGCAACCCCCGAGAGCCCGGCCTTTTCCATTCGACTTCACACGCAGACTCCCAGCGCTCCTAGCGATGAGCAGCTGCTTTCAGACATTCTGACCTTCGTGAGTGAACAGGGCGGCTCAGTTTCCTCTGAGTGCTTCGCTGGTTTTTTTGAAGGGCATCCGTCGCGCCGGGAAGCAATCCCCAGCTTGAAAGTGTTCTTCTCGAGACATGCAGCTCATTTCGTTGTCTCCGAGGACTGCCAATAAGTGTTCGTTTCACAAGCATCGGGTAGTGTAGGGCCAAAGCAATGCCACCATGATGTCCCGAGGGCACAAACTCTCCACACTGGCGGGTGACACTGGCATCTTCCGCATCGTCAGCCAAGCTTGCGGCCCGCCTTGCAATTTTCCTAGAAGCTTGCCAGGCGAAGTATACTTTTGCTTGGATGTTCAGAAGCTTCATCCAAAGCCCTGCCCCCGACAAGCCTACCCTTGGAGACCAACCATTGTATCAGGAAGATTGTGGCCAACCAATGGCGTGTGACAAGCTCGAAGGATTTTGCGAGAAGAACCCACCATTCCGCAATATCGTTGAACGTGGAAACCTGCGTAGATTCTGCGAGCAGCATCCAGGACTGCTCATCTACGAGGCTTTGTCGAAGGAAACAGATAAGATCAAGCTGCCCAAGCATTGTTGTCTGTTTCTGCGGGGTATCTGCAACTTCGATGCGCCCCACGGCAACTATCTCCACGCGAATCCTTTGCCTGCTGTAGCTTGGCTTCAAGGTTGATCTCGTCTTCAAGGTTGATCTCGTGCCCTGATAGCCGTGGTTTTCCGAATTGTTTTACGCGAAACCAAAGGCACGAGCCGTACGCTCGACCATGCACAAACCCTAAAGCCCTGAAACCTAGACCGTACGAAAAGCAGAAGGCTTAAGCTCCGAAGCCACAGATTCTGAAATCGTCACAGGACCAAAAATCGTGTGCCCACTGAAGTATCGAGACTAAAGAATGTTCATCATTGCATGAGCAGTAATAAGATTGAGAGTAGGAGTAAGACTATGCATAGCGATAACAAGAAGTCAAACATAACTGGAATCATGCATATGCATATTGTGCTTGACAGAAAGTTCTGAAAAGTGTTGCAAGCCCAGATCGCTAACATCGCCGAAGTGTGATGGGCTTTTCTAGTGCCGAGTGTGTGATTCAGGGAGCAATTCGTTGCGGGTATGGGCGGAGATGCCAACGTGGGCACTGGCAGAGCATCGAACGCTTGGCAGACTTGCAGGCTCAAAGGGGAAGCAGATTCTTTGAGTACGCAGGGTCTGTGGTCATTGAAGGTAGCGCGAAAACGAGAGATGCTTACGGTCTCTTGCGCTGCAGGGTGATCCCGCAAGAACCCGACAGTCCACAAAACTCCTCCAAGCGTCAGGCAGAGGCGACGGAAGTGGAGGTAGCTGCAGATTCGGCCGGGAGTGCCGTGGCTGAGTGTGAATTGAGTCTCACGATGAAGTCAGCGATTTTTAATGTGGCTCTCTGCACTTCTCGAGGAGATTCCTGAATGGGGTTCTTCGTGCCGAGGCAAAGCGCCGTCAGACCCTGGTAGCGACTCCGAAAGCAGCTCTTCAGAGTCCGGTACGCAGCAAGGCTCACTGGAGCTCTCCGCTAGCGACATTGGTTGGAGTCACGACTCTATCAAGGTCGCCAGGCAGCACTTCCCAAAAATCTGGAGGATTCCTGAACCCTTCGAAAGTTAGCAGCCATCTCTTTGCTACGCCACAGAGCCGCGCTGAGGTTCGTTTCCGGAATGGGGTGCTGCTGGTGGATACTTTGAAGGAGTTGGTGGATGGGAGGCTGCTTCCTTCCCAGCTCCCAAGCTTTTCTGTGTGGGCAGCCGGCAGCCTTTGGTACGCCATCTCAGGGAATCGGCGCCTTTGGGTCTTAAAAGAGCTCTCCTTGATTACTGGTAGAGCGGTGAAGGTGAGGGTCCGGCAGCTACCGGCTGGGGCACACATGTCTAACTGGTTCCGGCGCAAGTTCTCCACAAGCTGCAACGGCATCTCCGTTGAGTACCGGGCCAACCGTGGATGCCATGCCAGTATGAAGATGGCCTTGTCTTCGTTGAGGGGCGCCAGCACCACCCTGACAGCCCACGAGAAGCTCCTTGCCCAGGAGCTTCATCGGTGCGGTGGTCGTGCGCCTTTGCTGGAGCTGGAAAGCAGGTTTGGGGGCCAGTTCTCGGTGCCGGAGCTTGTGACATCGAAGCCCCAGCTCTTCACGAGATCTCCGTCGGACGAGTCCGTGATCTTCACGCCTGTGATCCCCTACAGGGGCAGCTGCCAGGGCACGGCCGGCAGTGCCCCTTGGACAATTCGGAACTTCCGGGTGACTGGTAGGTACGTGCATGGGTCTTCGACTGCCTCGAACCCTTCTACACTGCCATGTGAAGGGTGCATTTGGTCCATTTGGGGATGCAGCAAGCAGTGCTTTCGAGACTGCTCCTTTTGAAGCGTCGCAAGCTCCCAACGTCCCAAATAAAGCGCTTGGGTTCCGACTTTCTCCATGCAGAAGCTAAGCCTCAGGCAACTCTGGTCTCGTTCCAGCATCCCACCAACTCAGCCAGCATGGCTTTCCCCACGCCTTAAACTTAAACGATAAACACGTCAAAGCCGACACGAGTTCCGAAAACCAAAAACCCCTAAAGTCCAGGCGTCGCCGGCTCCGGCAAAAGATCATCCCAAGGCTCAGTGATCGGGGCTCCGAGGGCTTGAAAGTCAGAGGGCTCAGGGCTTAATGGGGTCACCGGTCCGGCGCAGGGGTCAGGTGTTGAGGGTTCAGGTTTTGAGAGTTTGAGCATTCGAGGGTTCAGAATTCTTGCGTGGAGGTAAGTCCAAGGCACCGATTCTTTTTCCCGATCCTTTCACTTTGTGTTCTTCGGGAGGCGGCGGCAAAAGCCACGTCCCTGACCTACAAGGCTCCTCCCCCTGCGAAGTGTCAGCTGGTGGCGATCTCCCCGCCCCATCCGGCTCAGGGTGTGAAGGCTTCTCCACCCCCACCGCCTTTGCAAGCGGAGCCCGTGCCCAAACCGCCACCAGCCCAGTGGCTCGCCCCACCCTCAAACCCAGCACCTCCGCCTCCCCGCCCTCCAACCGAGGCAAAGCCAAGGCCAAAGCCAAAGCCGCCCCCACCCCCATGTGCGAGTGACGGTGAAGATGCCGATGATGCAGCTTCAGTGACACCGCCAGCGACGCCAAGAGCCGATGCAGGGAAGCAGGAGACGGGGTTCAATCTGGGGCATGTGAGAGTGCACAGTACGCCCTTCAAGTGCTGCTGCAGAGTCGGGAGGGGTTCAGTGTTCAGGTCAGTCATGTCTGCTCGAAACTGCAAGACCCTCAGATTGCCAAGTGATGGGAGATCGTCCATCGTCATCTAGACCTCTGCATCCAGCACCCGTCCAAGAAATCGAGGAGGAAGGCACCCCGATGCCTGCCGACAGAGCCCCCTGGCTTCCAGAGGGTCATTGCTGCGAACCCAAAACCCTAAACCCTAAACCCTAAAGAAGGCCGAAGGCTGGCTCGAAGTCTGGAGTTCGGGATTGGGGTTGGTCGGCAAATCGGTCAAGGGCAAGATTCGGGTAAGCCGTTCAAAGCCCAAGCCGAACACGAAACCTCAAACACCGGATGCAAGCCCTAAGCCCGAGACCGTGACTCCCTCACTCTAAACTCCGGAACCTAAACCCTCAACTATCATAGACTCCCCTAAACCCTAAACCAAAACCCTAAACCCAAAGCCCTAAACCCTAAACCCTAAACCCCCACTCCAGTGAGCCCAGTTCCCAAGCGACGGCTTCGCGGCCGCAGCCCGCAGCGAAAAGACGGCGCCCAGCCCCACTGACATGGCGGCCGCGCGATGGCATTGGAGCAAAGGAGGAGGTTGACGAATTTCCGTCACTACTTCAGTCACTGCACATCGTCGTGTGTCATTTTCTGTAAAGGAACAGGCGGGGCTGTTGGACCCTTTCTCTTTTCGACGTTGGGGCAGTATTGGGGGCACGCAAGGCTACCGCATGCTCGGCGTAAGGCTCTGAGTTCTAGCGCTTTTTCTTTGCAGTTGCTGAATTCAAGCGGTGTGAGTGTGGTTTTAGAATGGAGCCACAAACGAAGCCGCCGAACACGCCTTCGCTTCAGGTGGGTTGGGTGCTATCCCGGGCCGGAGGAGCCCTGCCTCGTCTCGAACTGAAGAGGCGCCTTGAAGTTGAAGACCTGTGGCCTCAGACAAGGGCCCCACGAGCTCGCAAAATTAATCTGCACTTTTTAGACATCCTTCATAATGTCCTTCATAGACCTGCAGTATACTTGTAGGGTGTAGTGCACAATGCCTGCACTTCGGTTTGTGGGCGGGCGGTCCCCCGCCAAACACCAAGATGAGAAGCTCGTGTCCCGGTCTCAGTTTCAACATGCGGAGGCGGTGTAACAAGGTCTCCACGCTGAAGCTGAAGTACCTGAAGGACGGAGGTTTGTGTTGTGGACATGGCTCATGTTTTAGTATTTTTTAATTTTTGTTTATCTTGTCTGTTGAGACACTTGTTTCTGCTTGGCCTTATCATGAGTCTGATTGTTCTTCCTTTTTCAGGAAAGAATGGTTATAAAAGTCATTATTCCATTTTTCCGACCGTGGTCATCGTGACTCTTCTTGTTGTTACTACTCTGACTCTGAAGCCGCTGAGTCGTGTACTTCCAGGACAAGCGGCACCTTTTCACTGCGGAGGAGGGCGAGGATAGCCGGTGTCCAGAAACACATAAGTTTCTATGCTGATATCAGTTATGGTGTCGTTACGTTGTCCTTACTTGATGATGACCATGATGGTTATCATTGTTTATGACTATGATGAGGAACATAGTAGAAATGAAGAGAGAACAAACGCTGGTAATGGTCTTGATGGTCTATACGACCTCGCAGCCCAAGCGCTGAGCCATAGCATGAGCCAGGCTCCCCTGTTGTGCCCTTCCTGTCCGAAAGTTGAACGACGGCTTAAGCTACCCTCATCTTGCGATTTGAGATTGTTCCATTCTTGTTTTCAAACGACTTCGAAGCATAGGGTTCCGAAAAATGCCTCCGCCAGCCGCGAGTTTGCCTGGGAGGATGGGATGATCACCTTTACGCCAGCGCCGAAGGCCCCAGAGTCGAGCCAGGCAGGGGCAGCAGAGGAGGCTTGATATTCTACAATGCCGACCACGGCGGCTACGGCAGCTACGGCTGCTGCAACCACTACTTCTAGCATGTCCATTCCACTGCGACCCTACTGCTGTCAACAATCGGGATACAAGGGAGGCTTTCGATGTACGGAGTTGCCGCAGGTGGTCAATGTCACTTCGGGCTTAGGGTTGTTGGTGCTCAGGCACTTCTTGGCGCAACCCATTTCCGGACGCTGTTGTCCTCGAACTTCCGCTGCAGAGAGAACATGGAGCCCGAAACCCCGAGCCAGGATTCGTCGGCTTCACCCGCGCCAGCCTTGCCTGCAAGTGCACGCGGGGTGCTCAAAAGGGGCGGGTCGAAATCCTGAATCCCAACCCTCACGAGCTTGAAAGCCAAGCAGCAGCACATGCCCATGCTTTCGAGTTGGGCCAGAGCCCTAGAGACGCTATAAGAACTTCATTAGCGTTGATTAACGTTGAAAGCCGCCACAATATCCTCAACTACAGTGATATACAGTCACTGTGCTTGCCAAGCTGTAGTAGCTGTGATGACCAGAGAAGGGCGTGTGGTCGTGTTCTTGGTGAGCTGAGCAGTTGTTGTGTGTATTAGTAGTTGTTAGTATTCTTGCCATGATGGGCTTAGTATGGTTATGGGTATCATTATGCTTATTCGTATTGTTGTTCGTGTCAGAACTATCGTGATTAAGTTGTCATCGTTACGGACGTGCAGCGCTCAGGCGGACCGACGAGCTCAGGGCAGGAGAATCAGCGAATGGCCACCGAACAGGAGCGGGTTTAGGGTTTACAATTCAGGGTTTAGGGCTTCGGGGTCATAGGGTTCAGGGTTTGAGGGTTGATATCACTAGTTGGGTTTAGGGTTTTGGGGTGTAGGGTCTTAGTTTGTTCTTGCGTTTTTGTGTTATGCACGGTTACTGTGTGTCGGATTTTGCGGTTTGGAGTCCTTGGTTTCCGGGTTTTAAGTTAGGTACAGTTGAGTCCTTGATGTGGAGTTTGAGGCTCGGGGATTATTGGGGTTAGGATCTAGGGTCATTGAGCTTAGGGTTTAAGGGTTGTTTGATTTTGCGCTGTGGGGTTTTAAATTTAGGGTTTGGGGTCTATTGACATGGTAGCTGTTCCTGTACTTAGTGGTTGCGTGGTTGCGGTCAATGCCTTTGACTCTTGGCGAAGGGCCGTAGGCTTCAAGGTCGCCTGGGATTTCTGAATTCATGCCATTCAGTGAGAGGAGTGAACTCAAGAAGCGTTGGCTTAGGATTCGGAAGTTTCGTGCTCTCGACTCAGGTAGAAGGGATGCGGGCACAGGTTCCTGTTAGAGTTTGGCAGCTTTTAACCTTAAGCTGTAGATTGTCAGTGCATGCAAGATTTGATGATGGTGGTAGTGGGGGTGGTGGTGCAGTCGTCGTCGTTTTTGTGGCAGTAGCAGTAGTAGCCGTAGTGGCAGTGGCCGTAGCCACAGCGGTAGCAGTCGCAGTAGCAGTAGCAGCAGCAGGAGCAGGAGCAGGAGCAGGAGCAGTAGCAGAGCAGTGCTTGTAGAAGGCGAAGCGGCGGTAAGACGATTGCTGGCACTGCCAGGAAACATGCCATTTGCAATAGCAAGACCATCGACTGGAAGTCGGAACAAAGGATGGAAGAACACTAAGACTAAGACTACGCACAGTGAAGCTGTGAGGCTGCAGGGGCGCCCTCGCAGCCTCCGAGATCCGTGGCGGGTCCACCACCCCAGCAGCGGCCACGAAGCCAGCCGCCGCGGATTCCGGCACCGCTCCCTGCGAACCCAGCTTGCTCTCTTCAGCGCTGCGTCTGTGACCTTGAAGGCTTCTGGACCTGCAAGTGACTAGACTTAGGTCCAGGGTCGAAGCACTTCCACTGCATAGCACCAAGGCTTGCTCTCCAAGTTGCCGGCAAAGATCTTCGAAGCTATGAGCTTGGGTAGCTACGTGCGACTCCTTCACAGCTTCAAGGCCCAGCGGCTGGTGCTGAGGAGCGGGAAGCCGTTGCAAGTGGCCTTGGCCTCAAGCTGGATTCCCCCTTCCGAGCTTCCGGAAGTCCCTCTGTCACAGCATGACCTCCTGGCCGTGGTGGAGCAGCTTGGGCTGAAAACTGCGGGCTCCGGCCTTCAACGCATCCCTGGCTCCTCGCACCGCGCCAGCCTCTGCTATCACGGCACCAGCCTTGATGCGCTGGTCTTGCACGTGACGCGGCTTCTGCCAGGCGGGATCCCACTTGGACATGGGTTCCCAACAGAAATCACCGGTTTTTTGTGTGAAGTTGTTTGCTTGGGCTGATTTGGGCTGGCAGGTGTCAGTGAACCGATCCATCCGCTCTCCCAAACCTCTTTGCTGCTGCTGGGCCCTGCGAGCTGTGGCAAGACCACGGTGCTCCGGGACCTCATCTCCACCTTGTCATCAAGATACCAGGTCCTCTTGCATAGGGGCCTTCATAATTAGAATAGGACTTGAGGGTATATCATACTATAGTTACAACAAGGAACCCCCACAACCCTATTCTAATTATTAAGGCCCCTACATTGCTACGTTTTAGGGTTACAGGGTTAAGGGTTTGGTAAAGCTTGGGATTTCCCGTAGGCCAGCCCGACCTGACCCTGGTCACATTTCGGCAGGAGGCTTCTGCAAACTTAAGCTCAACCCGGAAAGAAACCCAAAATTTCCAAAACTTGAAATGCTCCATCCCAAGCCCCAAGAAACTCAACACTCCCAAGCCCTAAACGATCCAAGCCCCCAAATTGTGAACTCTAAGCCTGCAAAGCACTCAAGGCCCAAGCATTCCGCTGTAGAAGTAGACCCTTGACGGGAACTTCGTAGTAATTTAGGTCCTAAACCCCAAACCTGGCCCGCGAACAACACCCGTCAGGTGGTGGTCGTCGATCCTCTGGCCGAGCTTAGCTCCTGCGGCTTCCGCTACGCCCGGGCTCTCTTGCCATCGGAGGCCGGGAGCAGAGTCCAGGGTTTAAGCGTATAGGGTTCAACGGTTTAGGGTTGAGGGGTTAGGTTTGTCGAGAAAAGTTTTAGTACTAAGGGTTGCGTGGATCAGGGTTTCGGTTGAGGGCTTCAGGGTTGAATGTGTTAGGGTTTACGGTTTGGGGCAATGAGGCAATGATCCGAAAGTACACATGACATGATGTGATAGTGATGGTGATGATGGTAGCTAGTTTTTTCCGTCGAGCACAGAAGTTCTCTCCACAGGCTTGTAAAACTTGCGTAGCACGAGTACAGAGAATACGGTCAGACGTGTTCAGTCATGGTAGCTATGTTGATGGTCAAGGTGAGGATGATGATGACGATGTCACTCGCGATGATACTGCTGCTTCAGGTCAGTTGAATGCAGTGATTGATGCCGTCGTCATCAATCGGAGAGACTGTGATGATGATGATGATGATGATGATGATTATAACGACGATGATTCTGATGATGACCAGAGTGGCGGTCATCCCAGTATCCGCGGTCATGGTCACGGTCATCACCATCATCACCATCACCATCCTCGTAGCTGAAAAAGCATCGCCATCACTACTGTGGAAGGCCCTTGTCATTTTTCATAAGCGTCTTTTACAGATTCCCCGCGCCCCTTTTTGTCAACATTGGCAGTGAAAGGCTACGGTCCGGATTGGTTCCAGTGGCCGAATTTTGCACCGCACAGGTAGTCCCAGATGCCATTGTTAAGTACTGGGTGCGGGGCCGGATGTTTCAATCGTTTGCAGTATGCATGTGCTCGTGGTGCAAGATGTCGTCCATCCACCGAGGAGCAGAAGTGCAAGATCTTTGACACTTCTGCCAATGTCATGTCCAGCAACTGGAAACTGACAGTGCTGGACTCAGGACACACAACACAGCAATTCTCTCCATCTACGGTCAACACTACAGTTGATTGACATTGCGAAAATGCAGGAACATCCGGCGTTTTGCTGTTCTGAAGAACATCTATCTTTTTCCTTTAGAAGTATCACATACATGCAAAATGACAATCAACACTCAATGAACACTCAAGCAACACTACAGTCAGCACTGCAGTCAACACTGCCAAAATGCTGGAAAATCCATCGTTTTGCTGTTCTGGACATTAAATTGAAAACTAACGTTCTTCCGTTGAACGAGCGAATTGTGGAATCTGCTGCTTTTCCCTAAGACACACCCGGCAACACTCGCGGAAGCGGACCGTATCATTATCCTCCTCTGCCTCCTCCTTCTCCTCCTTCTCCTCTTCGTCCTCCTCCTCCTCCTTCTCCTCCTCGTCCTCCTCCTTCCTCCTCTTCCTCGTCCTTCTTCTCCTCTTCCTCTTCCTCTTCCTCCGCCTCCTCCTCCTCCTCATCATCGTCATCGTCGTCATTCTCACTTTCAGCATCAACATCATAAACATCGCTGCGATTGTCGGCAACCTCCCTCAGTCAGCATTAGCATCATGATCTTCGGCTAGGACACGCAGACCCACGCAGACAAAAGCAGACACAACCAGACACTCGACCTCGGGGACTGCTAGTTAGACGAATAGTCAGACAAATCCTAGCAGGAGGAACAGAAATACGGATGGATACGTAGATACGGATTGCCAACTGCATCTCCCGTGAGACATGCACCAGGAGTGCGACAACATGGCCTCTTTCCTGCAGCGGGTGATCTCTGAGCACAGTCCCGAGGCCATGGACAGCTCCGCTGCATTCTTCAAGTTCACAGGGGGGATGCCGTTCTTCTTGCCATTGTGCATGCGCATGGTTCCGGTGCGAGGCGCCAGAGCTGGTGATGTTTGATGCCCTGTTCTCCAGGTTGTCGTCGCCGAGTTCATCGATGGAGATGTTGCCCTCAAGTGTGCGCAGCTGTGTTGCGTGGCCAAACTAATGGCACCCGAGGACCAGCGACTGTTGACGGTGCAGATACGCGTTTCTAGTTCCCATATAGCTCTATGGTAAAATACACCACCAAGCCTCGTTCTAATCGTTCTGAGTGTAGTACTAGGTACAGTCCCCAACCGTTGCGTTGCAATATGAAACCCCAAAGCCTCATTGCCACTGATGGGGAAGTGCGCAAGCTTGTGTTCTTGTTTGCTGCGAGGCTACGATGCCGGGGTCCGGCTGGTCTGCTCGCTTCGGCAGTCCTTCCCTGGCCTGGTAGAAGCCTTCCTCCGTCTGGGGCCAATTTTGAGATTCTGTTGAATGTCTGAGCTTGGGATGCATGTGTGGCCTCCAGACGCCCTGAAGCCCAGAATTACACTGAAGGCTGCCACACGGGATTGTTTGGATGCTGCGCTTTTCCTTTTGGTACGGTGGTTGCCCTCCGCCGGGAGCTGGACGTATTGCAAGTCTACAGCCCTGCCGGCGCCGTCGTCTGCTGCTCGGCTCAACCTTCTTCATTTCCGATGTCTCCAGTAGAACCCGTAGAGCATACCCCAAACCCGAAGAGCAGCATTAATATAATAACTAGAACAAACTGTAATTTTAATATACTCTACTATACTATACTGTAATACAATATTTTTTTTACTGCAATATAATATATCATAATATAATGTAACGTAATGTAGTGTAATGTAATGTAGTGTAATGTGATGTAATGTGATGTAATGTAATGTACAGCCGCAAGTGCCAAGTAGCTGCGAGTCTTCGGAGGATGAGCAGGTGCAGACTGGTCGGGGTGCCTCTTGCGGTTGTGACATTATTCCCGGAGTCCCTATCTAATTCCTAGGGTTTAGGGTTTCCATATGCCCAAAAATCCTATTCTAATTACTAAGCCCCTAATCAAATGCTGAATGCCGCACTCACCCCTTAGACTCTAGAGCCCTGTCCTCAGGCGCCATGAGTGCCGGCCGGAGAGCGCGCTGTCCGAAGCACCACTTCCCGAACTCCCCGGCACTGCATCCATGCAGTGTGGTGCGCTTGAGCTTCGGAGGCTTTGGGGGATTTTGGGGGCCAAAGGTTGTGGAGGTCAACTGATGCTTCCGGTCTAGGACCAGGAACTTCGGGGTTGGGGTTGGGGGGCCTAGAGTTGGAGAGTAAACCAGAGAGGTTTGATCATGTTTTTGGGCGTGCCGGCATTTTGCTTCAGCGCATCGGCTTCAGTTTGATGTGAGTTCCTCGACTCCGACTGGCCACGGCTTGCTGTAAGCGACCTAAACTCTGCAAAGAAGCCTTTGACTCTAAACCCGAAACATGTTAAACCCTATTGAATCCTAATACCTGGTGCGTCTCGGATCCGTCAGCCCATGTGACAAGTGCCCCTCCAGCCCACCGTGCGCCAAAGTCACCATCGCAGCCCAAGCACAAGCCAAGGAAAGACCTGAACGTTGTGGGGTTGTCGCAGCCGACATCTTCCGCTGGCCCTGCCATGCAGGCGGGCACAGGTCGCCAAATCGAGGCCGTGTGAGCCACGGCATCCCGCTGCAGACAATTCCCGTCGACTGCCTTCGAGACGACTGCCCTAAAAGATGCTCGGACGGCTGAGAAGCCTCGGACCAGCCGGGCCAGGGCGGGGCACCATGGGGTGCAGGGGACCATCTCGCATGGCCCCGGGCAGCAGGCGATTCGACTCGCGGCTTGCAGCTCTCGAGCTCGCTGATGCCAATCGTTTTTATGTCGATTCAGTTTAAAGTGTCGGACACGCGGTCCCCGTGTGGGATTTTAAATATTTGGTCAGCCCTGCTGACATGCTGGAAGCATCTGGAAACAAAGTGTTCCTGTTGAGGCGTTCTGAGCGCTGGTGCAACAATGCAGTGCTTTCCACTGTTTGGACCCTGCAGATGGTGAGGTTGTCGGGATTCTACTGGAAAGGCCTGAGTTGCCTTTTTATGCATATCTTGAAGATGCGTTGCGGGGTTTGCTTTTTACGTGTTGTCGAGTCGTAAATGCATGACAAGGAGATGCAAGTTCGTCGAATGCGTGTGTGCGCTTGCGAGTGTGCCACAAACATGTATCTCACACTGGCCTACGCTCTGGCAGGTTGCAAGTAATCGTCCATAGATGCTCTCAGACCTTAAGGGCTTGAGCAGTCTTATGGCAGATGGTTCACTGTTTCTTGATGGATGCTCTTGTCTGGTCTTGGAACTTCCTATGCTGTCCCCTGCGACACCTACGAGCTGTTGCAAGAACTCGCAACAATTCTGCGCTTGAGCTGTTCGAGACATGCATCAGGTGATACATGACAGGAACCCAGGGCTTGGACTCGATTGACCTGGCGTATCCTCAAACCTTCCAGGCCAAACTTCAAAGATCCCTTGACCGCTGAAGCCTTAAAGCCCTCAGCCCCCTAAAAAGGCCAAAACCCCGAGAGGCATCCTGAAATCCATCGTTGCTTAGTATGCAATGTATTTGCAACCCAAGACTCCCGAACTCCACTGAAGGCCCTTCTGCAGCCCTTGAGCCAGCAAGCCCTCCTGGCTGCCTTGCCGGGCATGGGCGGCGCGCCGCCGCAGCCTCAAACGGCGCCCGCGCAAGGTGCCATTGGAGGAGCTCTCTCGGTTCTGAGATTCGCGTCGCTATGGAGACTTCGAGATTTCCGGCAGGTTGAGCTTGTAACCAACGGAGGGGAAAGCAGCCACTCCTTGTTTTTAGGATGGAGGTAGGTCGGCCAGCGTCGCACCAAACTCTTCAGCCCGAAGCGATGCCCCAGAAGCTGCACGAACCTGGCAATCCAAAATCATCCTGTACGCCTTTTTCGCCACGGGTGCCCTGTGGTCAGGAGTCACAGCACGTCTCAAACGCACAGTACGGAAACCTTTACATTCCTGAACCACCATGATCGAGAGACCGGTCGTCCTTGGTAATTACAGGCGCGACAGTCAAGATGTTCAGCAGTGCAGTTTGCCTGACCTCACAGTCGTCATGAGACTTTGAGCCAGCACCGAGCAGCTGGCAATCCCTACATCACGTGTGAGAATATATGGGGCTTTTTGAGGGTTAGGGTTTTGGGCAGTTTGGGAATGTGGGCTTTCGGATGGTGTGTGTCAGGCATTGTGGAGGCAGCTCCGGCGGCAGATGAAGAGCAGGTGGAGCTCCCTCGGTTTGGGGCTCCAAGTTTAAAGCCCCAGACCCCAAGCTGTCGGGATTGGCTCGATGGATGGGTAGGAGGTACGGTGACCACAGTTTGGCATCCGGATCCAAATATACCAGAAGCCTTGCGCAAGCCTAAGTGGACTTTTGCTTGCTCTTTCAGCGGCCATGTATGTTGCATTATCTGCCCATGTACGCTTCGATTCGACCTACCTGTCTATCTGTCTATCTATCCATGGCCCTATCCACCCATCCATCCCTCCCTCCTTCCCGCCCTCCATCCATGCATCCAAAAATCCAGACGTCCATCCATCTATCTATTTGTGAAAAATCATACACACCTTCGTGTAACCGGGCACCAAACGTCTTCTCCCAATACCTTGAAGCCCTGCTTCCGGGACCTCCCAACCGAAGGTACTCCCAACCCCAGCACGCTGGGTGCTGGGCTGAGCGCTGGTTTGGGGGATTTCAGCCGCTGAGGGTTTCGAGGGTTTCTGCTTTGGGCTTCGAGGAGTTAAGACGTCGGGATGTGATGCTCAACCTTGCCCTGCAACTCTACCTGGAGTCTCTGAGACTGTAAGGTCCAATCTTTGAGCCTTGCACCCTGAAGATACATGAAGCATGTCATGAAGCATGTCATGAGCTGCAGGTTGCAGATACAGCCACGAAGTCGCCGGATCCTTCAACCCTTCACGGTTCGGTGTTTCCTGGGGTTCAAGATTGAAAGAGCTTCTCGCCTTCTGAGCCTTGACCACCAAAAGCCTACCCCCTGTAATATAGGGGTCGGAATTGTCGATAAGCAGTAGTATGCCAGTATACCGTTAGAGTTTCCTTACAGTGATACCAGAATATAGCCCCAAAACCCTGTTGAAATTGAGCCCCCTATCATATAGCAAGGCATGGGCTGCTCCACGGCGACTACGGCGCCGCCATGGCACACCCTCCACGGCCACGCCGCCGGCAAGGTGCGTGTCTAGCGGGGTATCCGTTTGAGAAGGTTTCGGGTAATCTTTGGGTTCTCGGGAAAGCTCCATGCAACTCCGCGTGCAATTCCTGTCTTCAACCCTCCCAACAGCCAACTCCCTCCCAAGCCCACGGCCGCGGCACAAGCAACCATTCAGCACATTATGTTTTTGCCTCTTGACTCCTACAAAACCAATAAAGTTTGTGCTTATATATATATATATATTTTTTTTTTTCATTAGAACCACCGTGCATTTTACAAGAAGCCTCCCCTTGGAAGCTCGGGGAGCCCCTGCGCCGAGTCGCCCGGGCTCCAGCTCTCTGGGGGGTACCTGGCACGAGCTCCCGCTCGACGAATCCATGGAGGCGGCGAAGACAAGTTGGAGGTTTTTCAGGTAGGCTTCGGAGGGTTGAGAGCTTAAAGTCTGGAGTCTAGGGTTTGGATTGTTGGTTCTTGGGGGTGTAGGGCTGTTCAAGTCGCACTGGCGGCTGTAGTTGTCACGCACAGGCGCAAGCAGGTAGGTATCCGCTTGGTGTTGAGCTTGTTGGCGACACTTAAAGTTCGGAGTCTGTCCCGAAACCCTGGCTTTCCCGAAGGTTGCGAAGTGGTACGGTGCGGGATGCTTGCACTCACTCTCACTCTCTCTGTGTATGTTGCAGGGTGCTAGGGCGTAGCCCTGAACCGCAAATCACTCCAAAACCGAAGCTCCATGCCTCTATGTAAGCCCCAAGCACCAAAAGCCCCCGAACCTTCAACCCGAAGTCATAAATCCGAGACCCAAAAGTCTTTGGAATCCCAAACCCCACATCGTCCCATAACCCTCGAGCCCAATACCACCAACCCCCTAAGCGCTATAAGCCTCCAATGTGATGACCCTAAACCAAAGGTGCCGCTGGATTACGAAGTTCCAGAGGCTCCTTCGGTGCCTGGGCGGGAATCTTTAAGGGCTTTCGCAAGGGTTTTTAAAGGCCCCTGAACCCTAAACCCTAAACCCGAAACCCTAAACCCTAAACCCTAAACCCTAAACCCCTAAACCCCTAAGCCCTAAACCCCTAAACCCCTAAACCCTAAACCTAAACTTTTAAGGGCACTTTAAGGTTTCTACAAGGGTTCTATAAGTCTAAGGCTTCGGGTAAAGAAGGGAGCCTCGCCGAGGTCCCTGGAGGCTTTCGGTTCTAGGCCCCTTTTAGGCTTAAGCTTTCGGAGTCGAGGGCTGTGGGATTTCGGACGGCGGCGGTGTTTAGGGCAAAAAGGGGGCCTTGAATGTAAAGCTTGGCGCTTACTCCGAGCTTACATAGAGCTGGGCTTGTGAGGCTGAGATGTTAAAGGGATTAAACCCTAAACCCTAAACCCTGAACCCTAAACCCTAAACCCTAAACCCTAACCCTAAACCCTAACCCTAAACCCTAAACCCTAAACTTTGCGCTTTGAAGATGAACCAGCTGGTGACCTTGGAATCTGAGGCAGCTGAGCGTCTTTCGGAGGCCCTGCGATTGGCTCCTTGAGGGCTACGCTGGTAACCAGACGTGGGGTTGAGGTTTGGGGCTTGTTTTGAGGTTTCGGAGTAGTAGTATTACCAGTATCTCTCATCTGCGTCTAACAGCAGAAGCAAGGAAGTTGGAATTAACATCGCCCAGCCCCAAAGCTACAAGAAGGAATGCGGCATGAATCATCTAACTGCTATGCTGCGACGTTTTGGGCAAAGCCCGGTACCCTAGAGATATGACAGTGCAAGCGTTTGGGGTTGAGATGTACTGGAGTCTTTGGTGGTGTTCTTCTGAAGAAGTTCTGGACACTTTGTGTGCACAGTGGGGTCAGGGCCAGGGCGTGCGGTTTTGGCTTGGGCCTTGATTTCTTGGAGAGTCTTGCTGCTGTGAGACTTTCGGGATTTTAGATGCAGCTTTACGGCTGTAGGATTCAGGGCGTCAGGAGTTTGGCATTCCTGGCTTTCCAAGCGAAGTTTGAGATTTACATTGAGAAGGGGGGGTTTCGGCTTGAATCCGGCAATCCGAACCCTTATGATCCTCAAAACCTGCCAGACCTTGCACTCAAGTCTTCTCAACCGGCTTTCGTGACTCATCTTGCACATACCGGAAGGAAGGCGTGACTATCCCTTCAGAGATGCTTGCATCATCTTATTGTTCGACTATCAGCGTTCCGCCCGAATTCCCTGTGCTTCTGCATGTTCTTGATGCCAGTCTTCTGCTTCGGCTGCTTGCATCTACGGCTACGATCATTGAGTCATCTGTCTGGTGCTTAGCAGGGAATGGGGGAATGGATCCCTATGATAGTCCCTTAAGGTCCCTTATAGTAGTCCCTAGAACCCCTTCCCCCATTCCCTACTAAGCACCAGACAGTCATGCTCTCGGCTCTTCTCGCTATCACCTTGGCCCTGGCTTGCGCCGACCGGCTCAAGCGTTGCCACTCTCACATCCTGGGGGACCTGGAACAAGGCCCGTTGGGGCAAGCTCCTTGTTGTGCTCCTTTCTTCGGTGTACCTGCAGTTAGCAGCGATCGACAGACGTATATCCGCCTTTGCGAGTTAGTACTTAGTACTTCTGTATGTACATATGTCTGTATGTAGGTATTAGATGCATGTATGTAAGTAGGCATGTGTGCATGTGTAGGTGCATGGGTGTATGTTTGTTAGTTGTGATGCGTGCGAGGGTGTGCTTGTCACGTCTCTCTGTGTGTATGTGTGTTAGCTCATATGTGCCGTGTGTATAGTACATATGTGAAAATGTCGACGCGTATGTCGATGGCCCGGTCTATTTCCATGCCGACATCGTTGTGCGGGTTCAGGGCAATTCTTATGTCCTTGTGTATGCCTTGTCCATGTGCGCTTCTTTGAAAATGCATGCACCAGAAAGTGCCTGCATGCCGGTGTATGCACTGGTGCATTGGATGCCGTTGGTAGCCATGCCGACACATAGTGCGTGATCATGGCCTGCCAGGTGTCGTCGCCATGGGGAAGGGAAGCAAGGCCCCACAGGCGTGGGAAAGACGGGTGTAGAGGATGTAATGCCCCATTGGTGCAAACATCCTCGTCGCACTTGTGCGGGCAGGGTGGCTTCCTTGTGTCTCCTCCATCTTTGATCCCCAACCTCGGCGTGCCGCTCATTCTACGTCGTCACGTTGCAGGCTGCAGACTCGGTTGAATCTGCACGTCTGTAGCATCCATCGTTTCAGCGGACCATCTGCAATAAGATCAGCTACTTGTAGCGCATATGCCGTTCTAACCCCACCCACGAAGCGAGGTTTCATGGCTGCCTCAGGTACCGGGTCAGGAGAGCTTCCCAAAGCTTGAACCCCAAGCTGGACGCCCTGGGCCCTGTGAGGTTCTGAAGAAGCCGAGCGTGAAGAAGAACACCAAGAAGAGCCAGGCCTCGGGGTGTTTTGCGGGTGATTTTTGGTCGTGGCTTTGGGGACATGGGGACGAAGCCGGGCCGAACTTCAGGAAAAGCAGACCTAAACCCTAAACCCTAGACCAAAAAGACTAGCATTTTGCCGACTCCAAACCTGGTCTAGGCCTACCATAAGGGCCTAAAGCATTACCACTATTGTTTTAGGGGTTCCTTATTATAATTATCGTAAAATGGTCCCCGAAACCCTATTCTGATGTTTAAGGCCTTTACATTTGGCCTAGGCCCGAAACTTCCTTGTAGCGGATCAAGCTGCGGGGTTTAGGCTTCTGGGTTCAGGGCTTGGGTCGTCGCCGGATGCCGATCTTTCTAGAAGAACTTGCTGAACAGCGATGGGTGTTTAGGGTTTCAAGCTTTGGGGGTAAGGCTTTATGGCTTTGGGTTTCGGATTTAGCGTAGGGTTCAGGGAGCCTCAGAATGTCGTCGTTCCTATTGAATTTGTTTTTTTTTGTCGGCCGCGCAACTCGATGACACATGATTTCTTGTGGTTCGGTAACTAGTAGCTCGACGGTTTTGGTGAGCATGATGGCAACCTCGATTTTGGTAGTCAAGAAGAAGCACAAGGCAATCATGAGCATCGGTGATGATCGTAGTGAGCGATTACCGAGGAAGGGTTGCGGCCTTTCGAAGGATCGATGCCTGCCCAAGCAAGTCATTCAACCCCAAGCCGTTGAATGGCGCCTAGCTTTCTCACCAGCCTTGCGATGAACAGAATTTCTCGAAGCCTGATCGGACCTGCAACGTGAGCATCAACAAAGACAGGAAGGAGTAGCCTCAGTCTACACTGCAGATAACGTGGGAATCTGATGCAGCGAAGCGGGCTTCAAATGCGCGAACAACCTGTGTGAAAAGCACTGACCACGTTCCTCGCACCTGCCGCTCCAGAACATCGTGCTTCTGGGAGCTCTTCATGTAGAAAGGCAGTATCTCCTGTCTCTGAAATCATTTACTCGAAAACCTTTCACTAGCCCGGAGAGGAGGTAAGGATCAAGGTCCTCCAGCGTCAAGGTCTACTGCTACCTACTTACAACAATGACAGCAGGAGCAAAAAACGACCATAACTCCAACACGCAACACCGACAGCAACAGCAGTAGCAACAGTAACGGCAACGGCAACAACAACAACAATAGCAACACCCACAGCAACAGCAGCAGCATCAGCACCAGGCACCAGCAGCGGAACACCAGCAACAGCAACAGCAATAACAACGACGACAAAAACAACAACAGCAACAACAGCAACAACAACAACAACAACGACAGCAACAACAACAACAACAACAACAACAACACGACCAGCTGCGATTTCGCCTACTGCCACTGCCACGACAACGACCATGACAAAAATGTCCGCTACGACCACGACTGCTAGTACTCCCCTCGTGCTGCTGCTGCTGCTGCTGCTGCTGCTGCTGCTGCTACGACGGCTACTAGAAAATAGTATGTTGGCAGTACCACGACGACTATAGTGTCTCAATGTCGCCTTGTACTCTTGCCTTCCATACTATCATGGTCGAAACTTTGGCACCTGCTGCTGGTCCTGCTCCTTCTATTCCGCATGGTCCGAACAGGTAGAATCTACTGTTGCTGTCGTTGTCATGTCGTAGAGGTGTTGTCCCCTTTACTCCTTGTTATTGTTTTTGCTAGCACCATCGCTGCTGCCGCTGTAGCTTGCCTTGGCGAGCAGAGTTCATGTGATTCTTCACTGCTACTTCTGCCTTTTCAGGCTTCCAGCACAAAGCGATCGGGGTCCTCATCTCTGTGCCGGGCTTATTGGAACTCACTGGGGCTGAGGGTTCAGCTATGTTCAGGAATCAAGGTTGGGGTCAAGAGTCCGGGGTTTGAGTTGAGGGCTGAAGTTTGGCCGTCTGGGGTTCAGGGCCAGGGTCCACTAGAGCTCGAAGTGCAAAATATGTGAGTTCTGGGCTTTGAGAGCCGTTGTGACTCTGTCCGGCGCTGATTTCCTAACAGCTCCCTTGCCGGCCTTAGTCTGTCGCCCGACAGTCTGGCAAAAGAAGCAAGCCGAGACGGAGTGAGAGGCATCCAGACACAGAGTGTGAGGGAGAGAGAGAGAGAGAGACAGAGACAAAGATGACCAGGTGCATTCCCGGTAGGCAGGCAGGAGAAATATCGCCGCGACAGGGAAAGAACCGAAGAAGACATGTAAAGAGCAACAGAAACAGCGGCGGATAGCGGATTCTGGCCATTGGGGAAGCTGTCGCAGGCCAATTGCGACTGGGTCGGCCAAAGACGACGTGGCCGCTGGGGCAGTCTTTGGATGCGAGTGTTTTTGGACCATGTCTACAAAACACAGCAGACTACATTCAAACCCTTGCCGTAGTTACAATATGTTGCAATCCTCAGAAGTTCCTGTCTTGTACGTCTATGCGGACAACACTTGCGAGTCTCAGAAAAAACTAAGAACCCGCCACCAGGTGAGAATCAACCGCGCTCCGGTGCTTTGGCTGCAAGGAGCTTCGACGCTGCGTAAGTAACCACCAGTATGAACCGGTAGGTAAATCAAACAGTACCACAGCGCTAAAGATTGCGTTCATGGTCCTAAGAGTTGAAGCGCCAACCATAAGCCATAGACCAAGCAGCACAGTGAACTGACAAGTAAGACCATCACCAGTATCATGACAAACATCATCGGTAGAAGCGCAGTAGTAATGTTGGTGGCAGTGGCGGTGGTGGTGGTCGCATCAGCGCAGCAGCAGCAGCAGCAGCGGAAGCAGCAGTCGTCGTCGTCGTCGTCATCATCATCACCATCACCATTATCATCATCATCATCACCACCACCACCATCATCATAATCATCACATCATCATCATCACCAACATCATCACAATCACCATCATCATCGTCATCGTCATCGTCATCGTCATCGTCATCGTCATCGTCATCGTCTTCGTCATCATCATCATCACCATCATCATCATCATCATCACCATCATCATCACAATCATCATCACCATCATCATCACCATCGCCATCATCATCATTATCACCAGCATCAGCATCAGCATCAGCATCACCATCATCAACACCATCAGCATCAGCAT